TGTGTCGTGGGATCATAATTCAGTCTCCGGTTCTATTATTGGATCTGAGTGTCTTCAGGCTGAGACCAAACCTGTTTCTGTCAGCGGGACAGCAGCTAGCTTAGCAGGAAGCCTGCAGCAGGCTAGCTGTTTCGCTGACATTTTGTGTGTCGTTATGTGACGAGCTGTTTATCGACAAGACTCACAGCTCAAAACTTTCACTGGAAATCTGTCAGTCCTCATTCGTGGGCAGTTAAACTCAGTAAATACCAGTCTGATTGAGTTAACTGTCACATGTGTTGATGCCCTCACTTCGGTCTGGCAGGCAGCTCTTTAGTCATGGAAAATTAAAGGTCATTACTCAGCCAGTGCAATGCCAACCATGAACCATGAAAGGAGACATCTGCTTCGTCTTAACGTCTGTATTACTGTTTCTTCAGTTACCTGAAAAACCAAAGCTACCAGCAAACTTTGAAAAACTTGAGCTTGTTCTCCATCACTCCAAATACTTCGCATGGAAATCAGCACCTACTAATCAACTCATTTTCAATCAGACCCAAGTAGCAGATAGCAGACAGCAGGCTGGATGGCTCCACAGAGACTTTCCCCTTCTGTGCACAAGTAAAAACTTTGATTGTCCCTGTCAAATATTTAAACTACTGCCAACCGCCAGTGCTACCGCTCAGCCTCTGTGTAGACACACCTATGGTATCAATTTCAAAATGATACATCACCTTGTTATAGAGTTATTACATTCACAAGATATTCAGAAAACTTGACCTCGAGTTCAAGATCACTGAGATTTGAACTCCTTTGAGATTTTTAGCAGATGCACCTAAGGTGCTACTACATCACCTTGTTTTTTAGTTATCACATTCACAAACTTGGGTATCAACACCGGCTGCCTGCCCCGGACGGTGACAACAACACCTCGTCAGCATTTTACAGCTCAGGAGTAAAAATACTAAACATTTGACGTGGTAGCTGTTCTTCAGTTTAAACCTGCAGAGGCATAAAGTCAAAGGTAAATGGTTGGGAGGCCATGTGAACGAGGCTCTGTGTAGTCTCCAAAACAGCCAATGACTCGATAGCCTCAGTGTGAAAAGGTAAAGTACTTTCACCTGCATTCTTTCTAATGACCAGCAGGGGTCGACTCAACAGAAGTCTCACTAAACGCAACCTGATGCCCAGTTTGTAACGTATGGTTCCATGATCAATGACAATGACTATCATACACTGTGAGTTATCAGTGAGTACCCCTGATAACTACAAGTACTGCCTCTCAGCAGGCTTCCTGGAGTTGGCCAATCAGAAGAAAATGGGCTTTTGGGCAAGGTGGTCTTAAAGAGACAGGAGCTAAAAGACCACATTTAGACATGAGGACTGAGGGGGCTTCTTAAACTGCATAAACATAAACAGCTGGATATTAGCAGAACAGAAACACTCAGGTGCAGATGTTGCACTCATTTTGTTAGGGTCCGTGTCCACAGCGAGAGAGATTGTTGTTGCTAGGTTACAAAAACCATCTTCTTTAAATTTTTCTTCTCTATCCTTAACTACAGTGATGATACTGTAAGTCACGACCTTTCTTGAATTTAAGTGGTCGTGAGAGAGAGGTGCCAGTGAAGAGCACAGAAGTGTTCCCAGAGATGGACCGCGAGAGCAGAGCAGAGGGGAAAAAAGAAAAGGAGTGTGCCGAGGCTGTTTTTGTGATGGATTTCAAACACCATCAACGCAGAGATTCAAAGATTTATTTTCTGTAAAAAAACAAACAAACAAACAAAACAAAACAAGAAAGAACAGATGACAAAAGTAAAAAAAAAAAAAAAAAGGCTGTCTGTGCACTCAGAGCTTTACTCTGGTACAGCTGATCTGCAGTTTTCTATATTTCTGCACAAACATGTCATAGAGGTAGAAATAAGAACCATATTAACCAAATTCAATATAAATATTGGTCTTAGCTGTTGATTCATTTACATATAAATAAAAGGAGTTTTTAGTCCAAACTTCAGCTCATGTAACTGACGTGAACGCCTCACTTCAGACTATTTCACGGCCATCTCCATTATTCTCTGATCATTCTTTGCACTAACAGTGTGTATGCTGATGCTTATTTTCTTGGTGCATGATCGACTTTCTCCTATTTCAGGTTTCCTGAAATTATCCTTCGAAGTTTGCTGACATGATTGAGAAAACAAGCCCAAACCCTGTACTACTGCCACCATGTTTCACAGATGGGATTAGGTTCGTATGCTGAAATGCAGTGTTTTCCTTTTTCTACAGATGATGCTTCAAAGTTAAACCTAAAAAGTTCTGTAACAGGCTCATCCACTTACAAAGCACTGCTCAAACAGCTTTCTGTTTCCTCCACATAATGTGTGGAGAATGTGCACCGACGTTGCACAGTGATGACACGCTTATGAACATTAACATGGGTTATGATAACCACACTTTGATAGATCTATGACCTGCAAGGGACAAAGTGAGGATTGCTCACACCTGATTGCAATCCCACTGAATAAAAATCATCTGATAACAAGTTCATCTTCAAATCTACGGCTAATCCTTCACACACTTTCACCTTCCCCTCACAGATAAATAATACAGAGTAATTTTCTGAAAATAAATCAACAACAAATGACAATATTTTCATTTTATCCATTTAGTTAGGTTATTTTTGTCTAGTTTTAGAACTTGTATAACGTCACTTTCATGCAGAAATAAAGAAAATCTAAAAAGATTTCCCCACAGCTGAAGATGCTGGTTAAGTTCAGGCAAGGGGAAAATGAACAGGTTGGTTCTAATGTGTTTCTGTGATATTAAAGAAAAATATAACATGAAGCAATCTTGAACTTTAAAGTTACACAAATTAGAAAAAATGAAAGCTCATTAAGACACCAGAGATGATTCTTTGATAAGATAAATGAGCTCAAACGTTTCAGAACTTGTTAATATGATACGATCAGGAAATCAGATTAAGGAGTAAAAATCAATGCTCTAAATGAATGGAGGTGACACACAGGAAGTTAAAACCAATTTTCTTGGAGTGCACCCACATGCACTCACATTAAGACACGCCTCTAAATTTAGCCTGTGAGTTTGTGCATGGGGTAAGCAGCTGATCCTGTCTACAGTCTCTGCTGGTTTCTTACCGGTTCTCTTCGGCTCGGATTCTCCGGTGTTTCTTGCCTCTGCGGCGGTGTTTCTTGCCCGTGCCGGCAGGGTTTCCGGATCCGGCACCGACTGCTGCTGAGAGGAGGAACAACGTCTTTAAAATACATCATTAACACAAGGTTCAATCACATAACAAACACCATTAAAAATGTGAAAATCCAGTGATGTGAGCCTTCCTGTTAAAAATAAATAAATAAATAAATAAATAAATAAATAAATAATCAAAATACTTTAAAATAACACTAACATAACTCTGATAAGTTTGTTCCATAAATATTAGATAATTTAGATAAGCATTACGTTACCAGCATTTTACAAAAAGTAATCTTTTGTATATTGTATAGTTTCATTTGCATAAAGTAAGATGTAAAACTGCCAGATTACATGTTAATGTTTATTCTGATGTTTGATACTAATTAATAAAATACAAGAAAACAGTACATAGTACACACACATCACTGCTACAAATATCCAACACATTGTAACCAGCTGTCATGCATATAGTCCCTAGATTCACGACACAACAGTAGAACACGAACCAAACACCATTCATAAAACTCTTAAATTTGGGATCTTTAATAGTTGTGTAGCACCTACACAACTATTAAAACAGAAAACAGCACCGGATGATGGTAACCTGACACAACCCTACAGTACGACCTGAAAACACATAACACAAGATTGCACGTTTATGACCGAAAACCATAACGCCAAAGATCCTGTTCTCCATAACCCTGAACCCGGGATGGGGTGGTGCAGAGGCGACAATCATGAAATATATTAGAGATTTGAGTTAATGAAGTGTCACCTGGAGGCTCAATCGTGTGCCGAATTTATCAGCAGACGTTTTTATTTAAATTGAGACTTAAGTCAGGTCAGCGAATTCGACAGTTATCTGATAAAGAGGCAAAACCCCTTAAATGCAACATTTTTCGAATGGAGTCTGGCATTGAAGTTGGCGGAACCCGAAACCCCAGTCCGTGTGTGTCACAGCCTGGTACCTCAAGCTGATGCGAGCTAGCTTAGCATGTTAGCGTTGACTCCAACTGTATCGAGCCGGAACACCGAACTAAATCCAGTCTACTTTACCTATCAGCATCTCGGCTCCCGGTCCCCAGTCCGAACCGGTCAGAGAGCGTCTATCCCGTCCGGGCTGACGTGCTCTGACGGCTCTCGAGCGTCCTCGACCCGGTCGAGCTTCACAAAAAAAACAGCCGCTGGACTCCGTAAACAATGCGGCTGCAGGATGTTCCGAAAGTCCAAAAATTAGATCGGGTCGAGGTGGATCCGCACGGTGCAGCGTGGTTACCACGAGCCGCTGGCCTGTCCGTTAGCCCGTTAGATAAGAGCTGTCGGTCCGCTGTCAGTTAGCCTGTTAGCTCCAGCTGCAAATCACCAGCTGGTCCTGCTGAATCCGCCCCGACCTGTTCGTCTCTGAGCCGGTCCAGAACCTGGTCCGCAAGCTTTATTTGGGTGTGTTTAATTCGCTGTCTCGGTCTTGCCGTTCATGGACTCAACAGCTGCTGACAGCCTGACACCGGACACCGGGCTTTACGCATGCGCAGTGACCGGCCACGAGCTAAACTGGGAGCAGTGGCGCATCTAGAAGGTAATTTAGGGTGTCTGTGATAACAAAACAGCAACAACCCAGTGCAGCTTCTTATTGTTGATGTGCAAAAATGACGTCAGAGAAGTCAGAGGAAGTAAGCTGAATCTGCTGCTGATGCTGATGTTGGGTAACACCTGGGAGACCAGGATAGGATACATGTATACATAGTTACTATTTCTATTTATTTATTAGTGTGTGTCCTTGAGCACGATGCTGCTTTCTCATGGCATTCCTGTCAGTGGGTAAATGCGAGACACATTGTTAAGCACTTTGCAGGACTGCTGAGATTAAACGGTGGAATATATGCACAGCATTCACCGTTTAGGTTTAAGCCACAAAACTCCTTGGCTGTGGTTTCTGTTAAAATAGACCCTGTCACAATGTTAGGCAAGCTTAGAAAGAATATCTGTCAGAAAGCTTTTCTTCTTCTTCTTGCTGTCATAAAGTGCTGAAGGCGAACTTCTCCTATGTGTGCTGGGATGTGGTTAATTCACTATCTGTAATCACAGCAGGATGGCAGGCTTCATTTTCCTCCAGCATATGCTGCAGCAGAGCTGATGCTGAGGCAGATTCCAGATGCATTCAGCTCAAGAACTTGTATATTGTGGGTTTTGTGCACACAAAATGCTTACATTCATCAAAGGGCTTTCGTCATTTCTCACATTTTTTTGTCTCATCGACGGGAAATTGATCTCTGTGAGCCATGCTCAAGTTCAAGAAGTGCATCTGGACGTCAGAGGTGGTTTGCCATATGATGCACATATAAGAGCCACCACACACACACAGCTGGAATATTAAGTATTTTTCTCTAGAAGTAGTTTCAAATATTTTTGATCAGTAAGAATGATCACACATTCTTACTGCCCTTTGTTTAACTGAAAGGTATGCTATCTTGTCACGTTGCCTTATTATGAATTTAATTAAAGGTTCAATATGAAATATTGTAATATATGTTACCATAATCTCTGTTACAACACTGAGATCATAAAAGCAGCTGTAATAAGGCAATAATATAACAATAAATGATGCACACTGCAGCTGTGCCAGATATTATTTCAATATGGAGAGATCATTCGGAAGAACTGAACAAAATCTATTGAGACAGAGAAATTAATTCATCTATTTGGCCACTGGACTCTGATGACCCATCATGGCAGAATGAAATCCCAGCGGGGACAGGATTTAGGGCAGGACCCCCGTAGTTTAGGTCCTGATGGTGGTGAAGATTAAGATGAAGGCTTGGATGGAGTGAGTAACTCGGGTGAGGTGAAGATGGGAAGGAGAGTCTGAAAGGGAGAATGTATCTCAGTGCTCTTCTTCAAAGCATGCAGAGTGGCGGCTGACTGGGTCAAAGAAGGCGGCAAGAAGATGCCTGGACTGGTGTAATGATGCCAGTACTGAGTTTGACAGCATGGGGAAATGGTAGTGACTAGCAGCTCAACATCCAGGAAAGCACGCAGATGAGTTAATATTACAGATTGTTCTTGTTGAACTTATGCATGAACTTCATATCTTATTTGAAAAGCTTGAAAATGAAAGAGATGAAGAAGGTTTCATGTTGTAAAAGGCCTGTTGTCCTGACTATTCTTTCCTTCTCTTTGGAGCAGAGGGAGACCAAGGGCAAAACACAAACTACAGGAGAGAGAGAAGGCAAAAGTTTGTGACTTTTCCAACACCAACATCTCTGCTGCTGCTCATTCAATGGTCTGAAATCAAAATGGTTGATGCTATAAAGTGGGTCATGGGGCTGTGACAACCCTAGGAGATAAAGAAAGGTGATTTATTACAATTCATAAAAAGATCCAAACATATTGTCTCACCTCTGGCGTCAAAAACATGATAAAAATAATCCAAAAGGAAAAATGTTTTATGCTACAGGTCCAGAGGGCCTCGTTATCGCTCGCTAGCGCCCCCCAGGAAACAGAAAATCCAGACTTCTCATGATGATGTCGTGAGAAATGATGTCATCATGACATCAGAACTGAAGTTTGAGATGCCACAGCACAGCTGAGAACTGTTAAAATTATAACTTTATTTTTACATGATACAAATTGTGTTTGGCCTCCTGCCTTTTCACAATAAAAGCACATTTCCATTGCAGACTGAATCATCATCATCATCATCATCATCCTCAGACAGGTATTTACAGGCACATTTACACACTGTTAGCAAACTGTACACAGTCAGTAGAAACAACTGATCCTGGAGTTCTTTTATACAAACCCTTAAAGTTTCTTTTATTTATTTTTTATTCCCTTATAGTAGAAAAAAAAACAATTTCGTAACAAACAGAGCTCAACCAATTAGAGCTGAGGATCAAACTGTACAGAGATCAGGTGACATGCGCATCATCACTGACAAGGCAGGTTTTAAGCCCCGCCCCTCACCTTTAAAACAAAAGAAAGAAAATTATACTGAAGAAGCACCATAAATTTGCATCTGCATCATCATCATCATCAACACACGCATGCAGAAATCTATTGTGACCGAAGAACTACAACTACGGGTCAAACACAGGCTCAAAAAGCACACAAGCAAAACACAGAGTCAGAAATAGAAGAAGAAGAAAAGTCCAGCAGGAAGAACTGGGTCAGCAAAATCTGGTTCAGGTCTCTGGTTTGGTTCAGTTCAGTAGCAGGGACCATCATCAGAGTCCACCTGCTAGGTTCAGTCCAGCCAGAGGCCATAAACACCGGGGGCACGCACCCAGTGTCGTCAACGCCATCCACAAAGACCAAGACGACACACTAACAGCTGAAACATCATGGCTGCCTTGAAGACCCAGCTGTGACGTCGAGCAGAATCCAAATATCCCGAGAGATGTTGACTCTTTAAACCGGGATCTGGAATTTACACGACCCTTTAATCCCGGTATGTGCAGTGAGTCCGGATCCTCGAGGGCTCCGACCGTTTTTGTGCTATAAACATTACAATACTGATGAGAACGAGAAAGCATTCATAGATTTAAAATGTGGTACTGGATGTGAACAGCCCAAGACCTGAAAGCTCTGTGGTTGGTGATTAAAACCACGCAGGGCATCAGCAGCATCCATCTACCCAGTAAAAGTGATACTGGTGAGATACATGCACAGACAAAACCCACCCCATCCACAGCCTGTTCACCCTGCTGCCATCTGCCAAGCAATGCAGGAGGATCCAGCGGTGCACCACCAGATTTCTTTCTTTTCTTCCTTTTTTTTCTTTTCTTCAGGCTGCTGAATTCATAATCCATCCTTTTTTCATTAGTAGCATGCAGCAGCTACATCTACAATTTCCTTTTACCACGGTGTGTTGGGTAATGGTAATAAAAATGAGCCTTCGATCTCTTAAACTTCACTCATTCGATTCGGGCAGATCTGATATCAGAGCTGTAAACTAACACCTGTCACGTGTAGCTCAGCAGATCTAAAGTAGATGAAAACGGCTACCATAACAATGGCAGCAGCCGGTAACAACCGTGGCACGACACCTGGACCAGTGTTTCAAGTTACTCGTAGCTTCGTTCTTGAAGTACACTGCGTCCACCTAATGATAAAAAACATTTTTAACAGTTGCAACTCAGCAGAAATGCTGGGGGACATACACGCCAAGCAGAGAAAAACAGGAAGCTACAATCGCCACAATCTGTGACCTGAAACAGCAGCCGAGCACAGTGTGGTACGTGCTGTTTGTGCTCAGGGTTTGTGGCTTTACTCTGTTGTGTTTGGTGGGGGTGGGTTCTTCTGGCATATTGTCAGGGTTTGTGTAAGTTGCTGTTGTTGTTTTTCCTTCCCTGGTTCAATACAAGTTAAGCATTTAAACTGATTTATTTTCCCAATGAGCAGGGGGATACGTGATCAATAAGGCTGCTGTCAGAACAGACAGCGCCACCTAGCTGCAAGAGTGAAGGCACAGCTGGGATTAAATAAGTATAAATAGGACTTACAGTATGTACACACAATAAGTTAGTAACTAGCTAGCACACAACCACTCTTTATCTCTTTATGTCGCTTACACACAACACACACACACACACTACACACACACACACACACACACACACACACACACACACACACACACATAAACACACACTCTTTAACTCCTCCCAAAGATTTTAGATTGTTTTTTCAGCAGGTTCGACTTCAATGTTTCAGTTCAACATTCAGTGTGACTCCAGTCTCCGTCTCCACCACTGCCTCCTTTCACCTGCACAATACTGTCTAAATTAAGGACATCAGTCATTCGTAGGCTGGACTTTTGTTCAATTCCTTCGGTCCTAAGAAGCTCCAGCTGCACTCTGAGAAGCCTTCAATCACCTAAAATGTTCCAGCAAGCGTACTAGCAGGAACAGGGACTGAAACAAGACAGAAAAGAGCTTCAAGGGTTCCTTTCAAGGAGAAAAGAGTTAAACAGTTTCTTGCACACAATAGCCATAGTGACCTGCTTCTTAGCTTCATTATGGAGTTACAGGAAAACGGTTATAAACCCTTCTGAATAGACAATTCAAAAGGGTTTATTTATAACATTAAAATAATCTATGAACTTTAACAATTAGAAATAAAATGACATTAGAGCACATATCCTTCAATGCACATCAGCAATAGGCAGGGAGAGCAAGATAAAGACCCAGCACAGGGCAGAGCAGACATCAGTGAAGACATATCACTTTGATGAAGTCAGATGCACCTTGAAAGGTGAAGCTGGGCTGCAAAGCAGCTTGCACATCAAAGCAACTGCGGGCAGGCTGAAGCAGTTAAAAACATGCTGAGCTACCAGCTGATGTGGGTGAGGACTGTGGCTGAAGTTTGCAATTGTGGTGTGTATGAGCATGCATGACACCCACCTGATTCATAACTACTTCTGTAAGTGGTAAAAGTACTTTTTCCTTTCAGCATATCAGAGTGGAGAGATGCTGCTGAACACATCTGGTGAAATCAAAAGGATTGTCTAGAGTAAGGGTTTCCTAAAATAGAAAGAGAAGTAGAGCCAGCTCCCACTTTGGCTTTGGGAAGCAGACACCCTGTTTACTTTGAAGACTAAGCTTCAAACTCTCACTCTTCTTAAAGCTAAAGTTCAGACTGGATCATTAGTCTGGGACAGTCTAGGAGAGGACTGTCACACTGGATGCTGTTACCACTGCAGTCCCTTCCATGGAGTCCACAGTTTAAAAAAGATGTGGATTAAATTTGTTTTCATCTCTGACAAAGATCCTCACTTGGTCACATTCAGCACTCGCTGGTTTAGTTTCAAACTAAATCTAAAGCTGCACTCATACAAAACAGATTGATGAAGCAGTCTGGACCCACACCTGTAACTGAGGAAGGCTGGAAGGACTGGGACCAGCAGGTCACTGTTAATGAGAAACTGGAGTCACGCTGAAATGTGGTTTAAATGCTCCCTGATTTTGGTTCTTTTATTGCGCTTCTTAAAACTCTGCCCAGATCGGCAACATCAGACCTGCTGGTTTCAGTAGAAAAGGCGAAACTTACAAACAGCACGTCTGCGACCAGGAGCTCAATAATCAATACATGAGAATCTGAGTATTTCACTTGTGCTTTTTGACTCACAGACAGTAGAACAGCAGGGAACTCTGGGAAACATAGTGCAAGGCAGCAGGTGATGGTGATATTCCCTGATCTAATTGGTAAGATTGTCGTTCTCCACCATAGGCTGGTGTCAGTCGGCGTAATGCGGCTTCAGGTTTGGTTTAGGTTAGTTTAACTTTAGTTTCAGTGCTGCTGCTCTGTGAGGAAATCTAAAGACCTGGGATCTCCTGAGTCGGACTATAAAAGCTCATATATCCTGACACACACACACACACACACACACACACACACACACACACACACACACACACACACACACA